CAGAGATCAGATGACCATGTGTACCAGCAGAGATGACCATGTGTATACAAAAAGGGGTGATTGTCAACCTTTAGTCAAAGAGGACAAACCATATTGTGAACATTAGTCATTACGGATTCAAACTTGATAAATACGTCGATCAGTGTGTCGGATGGCCAACAGTTTTGGAATAACGAATTGCGGGAATACGGAACGATACGACCGACTATTTGTTAATGCCGGAACTTTTTCATTATCACCGACTGCTTTGACCAATTTCGTTTCGCTGGCTGCTACTGTTGCAAGCCTCGATCTTTAAAATGTCGTTTCACGTAAAATAAATAAATAATTTCACGCGTCACATAAATCATGCACGATTCACGTTAAATATTATGGCCATTTCATGCAAATATCTTTATTGTAAGGCCTGTTAAAATAATCTTTACTGTGAAATGGTCGGATAAAATTTTGATAAAATTTACCCTGAAAATATATGACTCAAAAACTCGAGTGAAATAATGCACTCACAGGCAGCGTTTACACTGTACCGTTTTCGTAGCGTTCTCGTATTGTTCTTAATCCTCAAGGGAACGCAAGACAATAGTCTAGTTCTCTCGAACAATACGAGAACGCTACGAAAACGGTACAGTGTAAACGCTGCCACAGTCACTCAAAATTCTGAATAAAATTACTCGATTTTTGAAAGTCCCTGCACTCAAAATTATGAGTAAATTTGTTCACAAATTTAAGTAATTTAATTTACTCTACTTACTCTACTTTAATTAATTTAATTTTCTTTGAGTTACTGTGTGTTCATTATTCTGCTCAAGATTTCGTGTAATAATTGTAAAATATTTTTAGTCTCAAAGGACCGGATGAGAATTCCTCGTGTGAATATAAGTGGAACCTGCCGTCTGTGTACGGTTTCGAAGTCGCTTGATGTTAACGTAAGCTAAAGATTGAACATTTTTGCATTTTACTTTTCCCTGAAATGAAACTTTGACTCCTTCGGCAAGCAGAAAACTCAGTGCTTTTCAGGAGAAAATAATAAATGTTTTATACAAGGAAATGGAACAGTGCAGGAAGTTTAGACTCGAATTTCGTTATCTCAATAAATAACATTCAAATGAATTGCATGTCATTGTCATATTACGTATAATGGTTGCGTGCCTCCTCCAAGCACGACGTTTGATCAAGGAAGTCGTTGGATGTTTTTATGCGGAAGTATTACAGTAAAAATTCTTACATCAGGTTAAATAGAATTCAGTTGTAAGCAACTTGACATCTCAAAGGTTGTCGAAATTTTGAGCTGGGCAAAAACTGCAACCACCGACTAAACATAAAACATTAACGAGGTTGTATGCACAAGGCACGATGGGAGTCGTTAGTTTTAATAATGGTGGTGGTACTATCCTGATTTTAGCAATGATATTCAGCACCACTGTTGCAGGTAAAGTCTGGTAGTCTTACAAGTCAATTTATTGTTGCAACTGCGCATTAGATTGTGCCAGGATTATAAAATTATAAAATCTACTCAAGACAGAATGATGAGTTAAAATCCGTTGTACAATATTCAAATATTTAGTTTAGCTCTGCAGCTTTTGTCAAATGATAAAATATTGATAAAATGATAACATTGATTTCAATGAAAATATATGCTTTCAAATATTTTTAATAGAAACAATATCAATGTTTTTTGAGAATCGTTGGGTGGTGTTGGGCCTCTCTCCTCCGCAGAGGCTCTCTTCTTCCACTATTCGCCATGTGAAGTGTAGTGAAATGCATGTCAATACTAATCGTAATCACAGCCAACAGAAGCCTCTGCGGAGGAGAGATGTTGGGCCATTTGAACAGATCTGGTCTTTAGATCGATGTTCAAAGCTTTAAAGAAGAAAATTCTTTATTTCTAGAACGATTTGAGTAGCCTAAATAAACGAAAGTACTCCGCTGACCTTAGCCCACGTTAAATATTCTTTTATGCAGTGTTTATCAAATTAACATTGTCGTTTTTACTTCCTAATATAGGCATAAATATAGTAGATGTTAGGATAAATATCAAGCTTTTTCTCTACTCCCAACGCGTCATTTAGATAAATATGGTTTCGAGGCCACGAATTAGTCTGAATTCAGAGTCTGCTCAGCTGTGATTGGATAGTGCATTAGTCGTTAGAGCAAACGCCTTTCACTTCTGAGATTTTCGCTTCGGACTTTATATTCTGTCGAAAGAGCCCGCTGTCGCCTGCATATTCAGCAGTGTTCGTAAAGGTCCTTAAACTCCTTGAAAGGTGCTTAAATTAAAAAATCATTCAATTTCAAGGGAAAAGTCCTAGAATACACAAAATTTGTTAGCAGTGGCAATGCTTGGAGTGCTTGAGAATTACGCAAAATTAGCCTCCTCCGGAGGCAACTCTTGTGGCATCTCAAATGGCAAACTTTTGAAAAATCCCCATCAAAAACGAGCAATACTGTCGCGAACGGCGAATTAATAATATTTAATGTGATTTGGGCCGAGTAGTAATAAAATTAAGGGGATTGGGCCGGGGATTTGCGGGATAATGGGGGATCTTGGGGGATAAAACCACATTAAATATTATTAATTCGCCGTTCGCGACAGTATTGCTCGTTTTTGATGGGGATTTTTCAAAAGTTTGCCATTTGAGATGCTACAAGAGTTGCCTGCGGAGGAGGCTAATTTTGCGTAATTCTCAAACACTCCAAGCATTCCGTTTGCCACTACTACAAATTTTGTGTATTCTACGACTTTTCCCTTGAAATTGAATGATTTTTTTATTTAAGCACCTTTCAAGGAGTTTAAGGACCTTTACGAACACTGCTGAATTTGCCATTTGAGATGCCACATGAGTTGCCTGTGGAGGAGGCTAACGCAAAATATTAATTAAATTTGTCTAATCATGACAGTTTCGTAATTTCATCATGCAAATATTGTAAGAAAGTCGCTTCTCTGTTCTCTGTCTTGTATTAAGGCCCTGTTACACGGTGCAATTTTTCATGCAACTTGTCTCGCAATAGTTGCTGTGTTGGTGTAATGTACTCAGGTGAATAAGATGCTTGTGTGATGTTACTCTGCTCTGAGTGTATATCCACACCGGACAGACTTGAAAAATATGCCTGGCCACGGTGGGTTTCGAACCTACGACCTTTGGAATACTAGCCCAAGTATTCCAAAGGTCGTAGGTTCGAATCCCACCGTGGCCAGGCATATTTTTCAAGCCTGCCCGGTGTGGATATACACTCAGAGTAACATCACACAAGCATATTGTCTCGGAATGTTTAAAAAAAAGATTTTGATATATAATGCATTGCAGGAGGTGTTACACGCTGCAATGATTTTCATGCAACTCGCAACGATAAGGGACAGAGGCATGCGAAGAGACTAGGGAGAGGCGCTATTTGGCGCCAAATTTTATTTAAAGTAAAGCGTGTACTGGGGTGAGTCAATAGGAACTCTCCAAGCTATAAACATTGCGAGACAAGTTGCACGAAGGCATGTTACACGCTGCTATGCCAAAAATAATTAGTGCAATCGTTGCCAAAAGTAGAGCCGACTTCTACTCTGTGCAATGCTTCATGCAACTTGTCTCACAACGATTTTGACCATTGCAAGGCATGTTAAACGGTGCAATGACTTGTGCAACTTGTTTTGCAACGCCATTGCGAGACAAGTTGCATGAAAAATTGCACCGTGTAACAGGGCCTTTGGCCGCCATCTTTTTACCATCTTGTTACCGCCAATTCGTGGGATTGCGTCGCAGCAAACAACATGATACACGTGTGATTTCTTCTCATGCCCCAGCAAACCCGTTTCATTGTCAGCGCCTGAAAAACATCCCACGTGTAACATAGACTTTAATATTAATTTAACGTTTTCCCCACATTAACAGGTGAACACCATCTCCAAGACAAAAACAGGTACAATGTTTTGTTCAAAAATACTGTACAATTGCATGCCAGTTGAAGTAACTGCATGGATGAAATGATGAAAACGATAAAAGACGCTTAATCCCGCAAGCTAGACATGCGATTCTAACTAGACTCGCTGGAAAACACACAGTCTAGTTAAAATGAAGTGTCTAGCTGGAATAGAAACTTAACAAGATTTATGAGCCCGCGCAATTTAAATACGTAGACAATTGGGGGGGGGGGGGAGGCTCAAGCCCCCCAGCCCCCCAGCCCCCCACTTCCGACGGCCTTGAAGCGTATCAAGTTTTCCCCCATCCACACGAACAAATTTCTCTGACTATAGCTCAGTTTGGACAAAGCTCCTTGCAAAGGGAAAATTTGTCCAGTTCTGCCGTACACAAATAAAACTTGCCAAGGAAAAACGTATCAAAGAAAACATGTTCGTGTGTACAAGGCTTTAAATTAAGGCATCATTGTGTCTGAATGGGCGAAGCGTGGTTCTTAATTATTGCCGTGTATTCAGCCATTACCAGACGCAAGCTTGAAAAAAGGTTTCATGGACGTAGATTTACAACTATTATATCTATCTTTGTTCAATCTTTGAATAGAGCGTGCATTTCTGCCAAAGCCGAACCAACGCTAAACTCGAGTTCTTGTTATCCTTTGGTAAACTTTACCCGACCTTTCTGTCAAAATTATGGAATCGCTTTACCCAACTACGTATATCAGACGCCCGACCAGCAGAATAATAGAAACCATGAAGCTAACAAGGACTATGATGTAATTGTGAAGCTGGGTGGCGCATCAAGTATAAGTCGTAGTGTTGAAGTAGACATCAACACTGTTAGAAAGTGCCTAGAAGCTATCGCCATAGGGTATTGTCATCTAAACTTTCCGAGTTGTGATCGAACCGATAGCATGTTTAAAGAGCAAAAGATATGTCGTGAATCGTGTCTTGAATTGACTCATATGTGTGGAGAACTGTGGAAAATGTTGGTAAGGTATTATGCAATAGGTCACCCCTACCACCCGGAAAAAAAGGCCTTTCGTTGCGAACTACAACCGTCTAGGAATGCTGGTGACTCCCCAGAATGCTGGTATTTCAATGGAGACGCAAACTCTACAGGTAACATTATAATTGGGGCAGTGCGTGGGAGATGCAATAATTCGCTGTCCGTGAACGTTGAATTAAAGTGCTTATATACGCGAGTTACTAATTTTTCATTAAAATCCGACCTGAAGCTGGTCGATGGCAGCGATTTACTTACATGAGTGAGTCACTACCCTAATCTGTCTTGATCATGATGTACTTGCCTTGGGGTTGCCACCAACCTATACGAACGGGTTTGTGATTGGTTGAAGATAACAATGAAAGACATTGAACTATTGAAATTACCTTTTCAAAGAGCGAGTCATACAAACTGATCACTATTGTTTTATGAAGCCAATCATAAAAACACGATTATTTTAGGTTGGTATTTACCCGATGCTTGAAAATTTGCCCAAAGCCTCAGTCAATTAAACAAAATAAGTAGACAAGATGAGCTTCGAGTTGACAAGCAAGTGTTTGCATGAGAATTATCTCAGCTCTCGTGTCCAGGTCTCATAGAATGAGAACAAAAGTTGTATGAGAGTTGCCGGATTATATAATTACTTCGTCAATTAATTCCCATCAACTCTCATCAGAGTTAAGCCAGTTCAGCTTTAATGAGAGTTGATGAGAACAGGGCCCCACAGAGAAATTCGGGGGCCTGGGGGGAATTTTTAATTCGGGGCCCTTATTTTTTCCCAAAAATGTTGGCGGGGGAGGGGGGTAAAAGAAATTTTCCCGACATACCCCCAAAAAGATTAAAAACATACAGCAGGGAAATTATGATTAAAAAATCTTTTTCCGGGCATATACAGCAGGAAAATTAAGGTTCAAAAATATTTTCCAGACAAATAGTATAAAATCGCGGCTAACTACATTTTTTCGGACCCTGAATACTACTAAAAGTAAGGTCTAAAATGTTTCTCTCATACCATTACTTATATAAAAAACGTTCCAACTAGTTTTTTTGTACTTACACATTTGCCCCCCCCCCCTTTTACAAATTTTGGGGCCCCCTTTAACTGGTTGCCCGGGGCAAATTACCCCGTTTGCCCCCCTCCCCCTTTCTGGGTGGTCCTGGATGAGAGTGTATGGGTCAAAGGCAAACAAGAGTTGCAACTTTCATCAACTCTGGTCAACTCTCATCCTCGTTTGACAAGAGCTTAAATTGATTTGCAGTAGTTTCTTTCATGTGCCTTCGAGGTCATTCTCCTGGTTTTCTTCCATCATTAAAAACTCTTTCACTTCGGTTGTGCGCCGTGATCAGACATGGGTGATATGAAGACACCCAGAGGCATTCGTAGTTCTAATTGTGTACTTTCTAAAAATACCACGCGTAATAGTGCTTCTTACTACAGCATGTAAAGTTGTAAATCACATATATTACTTCTGGCTATGTTTACTCTACCTCGAATTTGTTCATTTTTAGATGCATCTTCAGCTCCAGAATGGGCTACAAACGCAGGTAAGCAATCCAGATAGCAGCCCGAATCAAATTTATCGCCGAGTTAACGGCACAGAGCGCTGTTTCGGGCGTACGCCCAGGGCGAGGGTACTAATTCCGCTCGGCTATTTACACCCGGAGAAAGGAAAGCATTAGCGAAGTCTAAAGTGGTGTCATGGTGTGCTATACTAGAGACCTTACGATGTTAGGACGGCAAGGCGACGGCAACGGCTACCATTACAATAGATCATTGAAAGAATTGCGTACTTACAATATATGAATAATTTAGACATTGTCCTCGCTCTGTTTACAACACTAAATCACAGATTTTCACGTCTTGATACAACGGCTGCATTCTAAGCCACTTCGCACACTGACATATGACACTGCAGAAATACCTGAAAATGATGGACAGGTGGTGTTGAGATCCTAAATTATCGTAGCTGCTTTTACCATGAAAATTATTAACAATTGTCTCTGTGGCAGTATGTGTCTTGATTTAGACAATTTTAATCTTTTTTATGCCCATTTGGCCTTTTATGTTACTACTAAAATTGATAGTTCATATATTAATAGACATGTATTTTTCTTGACAAATATGAATTTATGGTTAGTGCACAGAAATAGAGGTTATGGGTGAAATGAGAGAAGGGATATGCCTATTTCATAACACTCTAGTTTCTTTGTCATTAAAATGACATATTTTAATATTTGAAAGGGAAAATTCAGTATAATGTTCAGCCTTAACAATAGACCATAATTATATAGATAATATAATACAGAACTGATTGGATGTATTCTCTTATAACAGTTTTTCAGATGCCAAGAAAAATCTCGAGATGGGTAGCAAAATTAGTAGAAGAATGCCCTGGTTAAATTTGATCCCATAAAAGTTAATCACCTTTGTTCGGAGCATTATAGTAAAATCTATCACATCTAACCCATTGAGCACATGAGTAATATCGTCTGGCGTCAGACAGTAGAGTATAATAATAAAGTAGGGTAAGGGACCGCGGACCAGGAGAGGCATACCCTGATACCACCACTTTTTCGGTGGATAAAAGAAATTACTGGATAAATCCAGCCTGCCTACGTGGCCTAGCTCCCGTGCTATCCTCGAAGAAATTGAAAAACAACAAATGTGCTTATTCTTAGAGAATAAAAAACGAAATGCTTAAATGTAGTGTAAAAATCCTACTTCAAGTTTATCAAAAACTTTCTAATTCTAGAATTTTAGAAATAGGAAGTTTTCCAGATCGTTGGTGTGAGGGTCTCATTACGCCAATCTTTAAATCTGGAGATAAAACTGACCCAATAACTACCGAGGAATTTGCGTGACTAGCTGTCTCAGTAAATTCCTCTGTATTATATTGAATCAACGCTTAACAGAAGTCAGAGCTGATCACATTTTTACTTTAAAAACGACAATTGACAGACACTTAAATCAAAACAAAAGCGAAAAAGTTTATGCATGCTTTGTAGACTTTAAAAAAGCTTTTGACTCCGTTTGGCACACAGGTCTATTTTTGAAACTACTTGAAAATAAAGTTGGCGGACGATTTTATAACCTTATATTAAAAGTCTAAATGCGCCGTTAAAGAAAACGATAGGGAGTTTACGATCTGCGACGCGGCCGGCTCAACGACGTGGTCTAAATTTCAGCTCAAGAATGAGCGGTATAAGCAATTTGATTACTGTAAAAATATTTCACGCTTTTTCAAATAACCTTACTAACTGCTACGTTTGGCTGAAGCGATGCAATGTTTGCTGTAATTTCGATTTTATATAAACGAATTGGCGACGTTATTTGTTAATACAGATGCATGCAGACCGTTTATACTACCAAACAGAACTAACTTCACCTGTATTCTATATATGCTGATGACTTATATTATCTCGATCAAAACTTGGCCTACAAAAATCTCTAGACGATCTCCATTATTGGAGCAAAAAGTGGCTTATGGAGATAAATTTAAAGAAAACACAAATTATGATTTTGGACATGATTTGACAAGTAAAACTAACTTTTAATCTGGGAAATAAGTTTTAATCTGGGAAATAAAAATATAGCAATCGTACATGAATACTGCTATCTAGGAATTAAATTTAACCACAATGGTAATAGGGCCTATTCTAAGGAAATTTCAATATTGCACACTTCAGAGCAGGCGTAATCAATGACGTCACCCTGTGACGTCATCCAGGGCCGCAGCTAGCATGTATAGTTGGGGGTGGGAGTGTAGGCCAAACATTTCCGATTGACGAAAAAATTTCCAAATATTTCATGGCATACGAAGTCACGAAGGCGTTTGCTATCCGGAAAATGAAGATGCAATTTACAAACAAAAATACGCATATTTTACGCACAGACATATTACAGAAGCATACAGTGCCGTAGGGAGCTCTTTTTGATTGGGGGGCTGCAAACGAGGGCCGAAGGCCCGAGGAAATTTTTAAATTGAGAGTATCTGAAATGCCCCCGCCATTTCCTGGACTTTGGGGAAGTTTTAACAGAATTCTGATGGTCAGAAAACAGCTTTTAGTATGTCGAAATTTACAGTTTGCTTAGTAGTACTAAATGGGCGAAGGCGTATTTAATTAACTATATACTGGAGAAGTTGCAGGAAAGGGGATAATGTAACCGCTTAAAATCCATCAATTGTCAGTATTTTAAAGGTATATTCTTTAAATGATAAAGGTCTGTACGATTTTGAAAAAAGAATCATTATTAGCAAATTATTAGGAGGGCTGCAGCTAGCCCCCCCCCCCCGGTTGCTACGGCCCTGAGGTATGGTAAACCGAAACCCATTTACCGATTTACGATTTGTTAAATGTTATCCATGTAAATGCCATGATTTCGTAAATCAATTTATACTGACAATACAATTATATTATATTTTCTCTGTTTAAAGGACATTGGCAACCAAAATTTTTATTGCTTCATCTGAAAGAGCATGAAAAAATAAGCCGGTTGGCCGTTTATTAATGCTAGGCCCTTCCCGATTATGCTAGTAAAACTGGCATATTATGCTCATAGCAATGCTTGTTATTTCCTAAAATTATGCTCAAATTATGCTCATTTTTCAAAATTATGCTCATTTGGTTGAAAAATATGCTTGGCTTTAATTAGAGGAAATAGATAGAACCGTAGGGCCAAGGCACAACAACATGTACTTTTCGATCGTTTTCGGGCAATTTGTGCAGGAGTTGGCCTATTCCCTGCCTCGTTAGTGCTTCTTTGCGTGGTCTGTGCTTCCACCTTCAGATTTGTATTTCCGTACGACCGTATCGAATTATCAGATACACAGATACTAAAATTAAATTAGTAAAACATACATTATTTTGACTTTATGGGGAAAAAGAACAGGAAATATAGTTTTCCTAAGCTCCATAAAACTGCATGAACGCCAATAATATGAAAAGTTTTGCTTTTTAACAGCCAAATACAGACGAAATTATCGGAAAAATGCTAAATTATGCTAGCCATTCTTTTTAGAAAAAAAATGCAAATAATATGCTCGTTAAGCCAAATTATGCTGAAAATTATGCTAGCATAATCGGGAAGGGCCTATTTAATGCTCTATTCTATATCATATAGGTCCGACGTTATACGCAAAAATGTGCAAAATATAAATTGCTGATTCAGCACAACGTGTGACGTCATTAGTTGGGTAAGTATGTTTATTGAATAGTAAACTGAAGCATAGCCCAGTTATTATGGGCCCAAATCAAATGAAATTTTGCATACTGATTGTACATGATGGGTCACATTGAAAAACGCTTCTAATTTTGTTGCCAAGGTAACAACGTCGTTCCCAGGCCCCTTGCGCCAATTTTATCAAACAGCTTTATTCATGGTACTGATAAGGTTAAAATAATATCAGAAGTATATGTACCATACCTATGTATGCCAAAAGTTTACTTGCATGATAATAATTCCAAAATGACATACCCATAGATAAATGCAACTAGTTATTCAAAATCAGTTTAAGGGGCCTGGGAACGACTGTGTTGCATTGACAACAAAATTAGAAGTATTTTCCCATGCGTCTCATCATGTACTATCTGTATACAAAATTTCATTTCATTTGAGCCAATAATAACTTAGCTATGCTTTAATTTACTATTCAATAAACATACTTACCCAACTAATGACGTCACACGTTGTGCTGAATCAGCAATTTATATTTTGCACATTTTTGCGTATAACTTCGGAACTAGATGAGATAGAATAGAGCATTAAACGGCCAACCGGCTTATTTGACAACATACAGGGTGTCCTCATAAAAGTAAATTCCTTCAAATTCATATCAGCCATAACCTATTGTAGTAAATCCCTGATGCAACAAAAATGATCCTCAATGAATAGAGCTGCATGTCAAATTACCACAATAAATTACGGTTAATTTGAATTTGAAAGAGTATACTCTTTTTGAGACACACTGTAGAATGACAACGTGATTTTTTCCTTGGGCATGGTCGATGAGCACGTATTGTTGTAAAATCTGACTAAATGTTGGAATTATTACCGGAACTTGGCCTATACTTGGCCAATCTTTGTTTGTACCTTCACTCATTTTGTTGGAAAGGCATTTTGGAATTCTCAACTTTATATTTCATGTACTTCGCTCCTTCATCACATACAAAGTTGAAATTTATTTCAAATTTCAATACTGCACACTTTTGCATTCTATACTGCACACTTTTTATCCAATACTGCACAAAGTGTGCAATACTGCACACTAAAATAGGCCCTGAATGGTAACTTCACTCGAGCTATTAAACAACTGGGTGAAAAATCTCTGCACGCACTATATGGTATAAGAAGACAGCTCGATTTAAATCATCTCAATCCTAAATATGCCATCAAAATATTTGACTTTATTATCAGTCCTATTCTTTCATCTCAAACTCATTAATAATTCATGAGTAAAATAGCCAACCATATAATTGTTTTATTTTGCTTACATGATAATACTGGATACCTGATGAAGTATATTGATCCAGTCCTAGGACTGGATCAAAATTAATTCAGTCCTTGGATTGAATCGAAATTAATTAAGTAGTGATTTATTCGTATGAGATATTATTTCAAATCCTCCAATTCGGACTGGACTAGATTTCAAGTCCTCGCATTTTAATCCAGTCTTCTGCTTCGTCTCGGACTTGATCAAATTGCGCGGACTTGAAATCTAGTCCAGTCCTCATAGTCGGATTTGAAATATTATGTACAACTCCGAAGTGTGGGGAACATACCTGAAAAATGATTTCAGAAATTGGGACAAACTACCAATTGAGCAAGTTCAACTTAAATTTTGTAAAATGTACCTCGTTATCAGTAAAAGGCGAGTAATATTGCTTCCAGTGCTGAACTCGGGAAACTCCCTCTAATTGTTAATATATTCAAAAGGGTTTTCAAATACATCACTCATCTAAACACATTGTCCCAAACAATTAAGCATTTTTAATCTCAAAAGATCTTTACTCTAAACAGAAAACCTCTTTTTACGGAAATGTAATCAGGCATAATGTCAAATCTCTCAATCTAAATGAAGAGATCCCTGACTTGGAATCCGTAACATCTGAACATATCAAAGCCATATTACCAAACACCTTGAAGAAAAATACTTAATATTTTGGAAACATAACCTTGAAAACTCATCCAAATTAACTTTCTATTCTACCTTCAAAACCGATTACGAACTCGAAAAATACTTATCAATTGCAAAAGATCCAGACAAAAGAAAATGCTTAACACGTTTCAGAGTTATAGCAACCGTAACCTTTAAATCGAACTCGGGCACTACCAAAATATACCCCCAGAAGAGCGTTATAACTAAACATAAGCTTTGTCATTATTTGTAAATAGGTTCCTTATAGTTCTTTTTTATATATAGATCTATATTGATGTAACATTTCTAAAATGCTTTAGCAATACTGTAAATTATCGTCATGCTAATAAAGCTCTTATTTATACCCTTACCCTGAGGGTGCATTGCCACATGAGGGGTTAACATGATGCATGGACAGGGTTAATATGAGTCTAGTTTACCCTTTAAGTAGCAATGCGCCCTACTCTATTTCTTACTGTGTAATGCCCGACAATTTTATTCATCAAGGCAAGGAGGGAATGCTGCCACTTAATGCATGCCATAGCGGGTTAACCCATTGAGTGGCAAAGCTCTTTCCTTGATCATGACGAGTATAATTATTGTCTGGCGTTTAATGTCGTTACCATTATTCTATACCTGTGTTAAAAGCGGTTTTCTAAGTAACTTTACTATAGATGATGATTAAAACAAAACAACTTTGACACAAAAACATGCTACGTGATAGCACAACTACAGTCCATGCATATAAGTTCAGTGTGCAAAAAAATGATCGTGGTTGATTTCTTCGGCTAGTTCCCCCATCTTCAATCGCGCTGAAAAGATTTTCCGGGGTTTTCTTTTTCATGTAATTCAGCTGTTGTTAGTTCCGGAGGCAAAGTAGAATTTTTTGAGATAATTAAATTTCTTTTCTTCTGTTTGGCAGTGATTCTTCTGAAGCTTGGACTGCAGCCCTGGCGTGGTAAAATCTTGCCTTCAAGCTTCTTTATCTTTTCTTTCACGTCAGCAGGAACTGCTCGCATTCTCTTTCGGATGTCAATAATTTCCAGTCGAGTTTTTGTAAGACTTCTCTCTGCACTTTTGATATCCTCGTTTTGATATCCGCTTTTTTGCTCCAAAACTTTCTATATTCATTTATTGTACCGGTCGAGTTTTGAATCTCAGTATCGAATCTTGTTAGAGCGAATCTTGTTAAAATATCTGTTTGATGAATAAATTGTTAGTACAATGTTAACTAGTAGTAGTATGTTGCTACAATTATATTGTTCAGTAAAAAATACGCTGTAGTGCTGCAGTAACTAATTTGAGGTTATTTTTGCACCTGTTCTTTTAATGTAATGATGGATGTCCGAAGGGGAGGGGATATTTCTAGGCTTTGAAGTCCGGGGAAGGGGAGAAGGGGTAAACTGTTCAGGGATGACAGGAGGAGAGGGGAGGCGGTATATTCCATTTCTTCCGGCGGGGTATGGATCTTTTTCGGAATGACCCAAATTATTTATTATCATTTTAGCATCTTTAAAAGACGGGGAAATTAGTTCTGTCAGATAAATAGCATGTACTTTAAATATTGGGCTTCGGTGTCATTTCATCACTGCATATGATTAATAATTTTCCCCAAAAATGAATGAATTAATACCAACATAAAACAGCATCAATAATGCTTCATTTCCTTTACTAAGAGAATTTGGTGTTACTCGTGCAATTTGTAGAGAAAATGCTACAGTCTCTAAACCTGATCTTATTTATCCTATGAACCTTGCTTCAACAGAAGTTGGTATAATTAATTTCGATCTTGATGTTTCTATACAATTTACAATCTACAATCTATAATCTACACATTATAATTACATTGCCATCAGTGGCCAGTGGCTTAGATGATTCAAAACCATGATATAGCTCTAGCTTAAAAAGGTTTTACTCTGAAGGTATACTAATATAATAGAAAACACTTTAATTTATTAAGTAGTATTATGAAACAGAAAATGGTGGCCAACTGGTATTTATATCAAACTACAACATCGTATATAAAAATCTGAAGGTTCAGTAATTTTCGAAGAAGACTGTTTCTCGTGGTTTGGGCAACTTAATTGCCGGTGCATATCAGTTGCCAAAATTGTCCACTACACAGCACAAATATGCTGTTTAATATATTTTCGCGTTACAGCTGTATCAGTTACCACAAATTTAAAATGAACATAATAAAATCTTTTATAATACCTTGAAATAAACGTCTCTCCAAAGCTTCTACCTAGACAGGGTAGCTCTTGCCACTTGTTTTATATCTTGAAGCAAATGATATTAAAATGTCGAAGAGAAGGCAGAACATCGAGGCAAACTCTAAAACAAAAGCTGAAATATTTTTGCAATTAGTATTGTCCAGGTCTGTTTTCAACAAGATTGTTACAGGCTAGGCGTTTCCTCTACTGACACGGCAAAAAACTCCGAGCCTGCTGCATGCTCAACAGGAATGAACAATGTTTTGCTGCCCATGTTGTTCACACTTGTCAACAGTATTGAACAATATTGTTGAGCCTGAATTGGGTGTAACAATACATTGTTGACAACTGTGAACAATGTGGGCAACAAAGCATTGTTCAATCCTGTTTTCATCAATATTGCAACAACCTGATCGTTTTTTGCCGTGTAGTATTAAACTTATTTTCTCTTAATTACTAGCCAGTGGCTGAGACTTCCGGGATGCTGGGAACAGTAGATAATACATGTATTAGCCCGGGTGCAGATCCACCGAGGGAAGAATAGTGGGCCTGCAAGGAAGATCGGGCCCCATTCGCGCGTCAATTGTCAAAAAGGAAAGTCGTGCGACCACATTAGCATTAATTTGTGTTTCTATCGCCATTGTTATAAATAAATTGTCTCACTTATCAGATCGTGTGTGCAATTCTTGTGGGCGGAAGTACGAAATTTATTTCAGTTATTTAATTTGGTAAAGAATTCGACAAAAGAAGAGAGCGTTCAAAGTCCAGATCGTTTAAAACGGTAATGGTAGTCTTCTGTTTCGCCCTCTCAGAGAAGCCCTGAAAATCGCAAAGTGTTACGAATAGGCTTACATACAACTGCTTCTAAATCTTCATCACGAAAAGCGCTGTTTTCTTCAGTGCAAGAACAGAATCAACATCAACCAAAGATAATTTTCTTGAGGAACATATAAACGTATCAAATCTTTTCGAAATTGATGAAACTCAAGTAAAGGTTACTATAGTTTACCCCAGTGGTAATGTTGCATGCTATTCCAACACTTCACGACAAGCAATCCCCATTGACATAACGGCAAAAACATCTCTTCCTTTAAGTAAACAATAAACAGTCTGTTCTTGTTTCATTTTTAATCGAAAAGAGTGATCAGATCCAATTTTAAGCTTATTGAGAGCCTTTGTGATGAACTCACTGCATGATCTAATTATAGAATCCAACAGCAAACAGCCAATTAGAATGCTGCGTTCGTGTGCGAACGCGACAAATATAAAATATCCGGTTTTCCTTGCAGGCCCACTATTCGTCAGTGGGCCTGCACGCGGGCTATACATGTATCTTCACCTTTGAATCGAAGGCTCGTTTCATCTCAGTCGCCTGAGAGAAGAAAGCTTCTGTGTGTTTTACCAAGCACGGCAGGTTTTATCCCAGTACTCCAGACTTGCCACATACTTCCAGCCTAGCCCCTATGCCTCTTATAGTACGCCTTAATACGCGTTCTCATTAATATGCAGGTTACGTCACTGGAAAATAAAAGGGGGGAACGAGGACTGGGGACTAGTTTGTCGTACTTCAATGACAAGATCACAGAATATACAGGGTGTGTAAAAAAAACTACACAGTTGGAAAAAGTTCACTAAAGTCAGATGCACGCGACCATTTGCGAAAACTTTCGTTAATCCTAATGTGTACTTTAACGTTTTCTAGCACATTTATGCTCTCTTATGCATCCTCGTTCCCAGGGCTTCTCGGCTGCCTGCGTTGCCGTAAGCCCTGGGACAAAGGACAAGCCAAACCGGAACACCACAAATTCTGGTGTTTTCCGGAAGTAAACGCGTTCTGCTGCAAGCTAAAAATGCTGACTATGCACTAATTCTTACTGAGGAGTGGAGACGTGTTGGTGAGCAGAAAATATTGGATTTTTCTTTTGTTTCGATGTATTTTCCACCATCAAGGGAATATGTGCAGACCACCTAATGGAATTATACATACTGGGGTTTTATATTTCGTTATATCGTTAATATTCGTCAAAATGCAACCATATTTCGGTTTCGTATTAGATGTATCAATTTTCATGTATGATGTAAACATGATCGAGTCGAAATGTGCTCGAAGTGGCCGCTGTGATTCGAAACATCATGGGTTCTTGTACAGATGACCTGTTTCAACACGTGCTTGTAAAGTCACTTCAAAGACTGGACAAAGCTGGACTGGAAATTAAAGAGAAGTAATTCGAAGCTTTATCGTCCATCGTATGTTGTATATTAAAAGGAACAAGAACGACATGTGAGTCTGTTTACTGGGTTACAACAACGACAATAACAATGAATCACCTAACATTTCAAGAAAATATAAATTATAGATAGATGTCATGTATGACGCCATGAGTTTTGGATTTGAATTGCTAGAATTAAATCTATATTATGTATACAAAATCATGCGTGCGTAAATTTGAGCAAAAAAGCACAAGGTGTTTGTTTGGCCATATGCCCATCATGTAGTATGAATATTGAACACCGTTTTACTGTATATAGCACGTTTAAAACGTTATTTCCATGCAGGATAATCCTGAATCCTTCACCGATTACATGCCGTGGCAAATGAAGAAAAATAATTATGTAAAATAATTAACCTAATATGTCTTTGGCCATGAATGCAACTCACTATGCTGCTTGATACATCTGACAGTCAAAAACTATGTGCATGACTGTATGGCTCAATGTATGTTAATTGTTTCAGGGAAATTTTTGTTTTCAGATTAAAGTATAACAATATTTTCTGCATTCCAATATATTTTAATCTACATGCAAGTGCACCTTCTGTTTCAGATAGGGGCCAAATCATTTGAGGCCGAATGGGATAGCCAATGATTGGAGGGTAATGTTAGCAAATTTGACTCCCATACATAATGTCAAGTTATCACTGGTCAATTTTTAAATTTCTTACAATTTCACATCAGGGAGTTCATTGCCCCCCCCCCCCCATTATTCAGAAGTGTGACTAAGTGTTTTCTAATATCTATCCAGGGTCCAATCTAAATCTCCACCACAACAGGATGTATACCTGAGTGATGGTAAGGGAGGTGGGGTTAACATTCTGATTTATCAATAGATTACTACACATTTCCACATTAAAAATATGAAAAGTTTTCCAGTTCAATAGACTGTATCTATAGCAGGAGGCTTAAACCAGAATTTCAGAATACAAAGCAACTTTTATGTCATTTTTGTAATGGTTTAAAATCAATTTTTATACAGACATGGTAGGGTGTCTCCTGGCTAGAAGCCTGCATATACATATACAAATTTTCAGTTTTGTCAATAATAATAGTTTATTTTATAATTTCAATTCTTACAAGATTTGCAATAAGTCAACAGAATAAGTATTCTATTCTGAACTGTTGACAGGAAACAGTATAAATACATGATCTCATCCAATATGACACAAGAATTCGAGACCCCCACCTCGGGCATACCAGGGGCATTCACTTAATTTGGTGTGTGAAATTCAGTGAAGTCCCCTGCAGCCAGGACAAAATGGCAAGGTAAATTTCTTCGGTCCTATCATCCTCAGGTATTCAATTAGAATTTTTACATGAAATTTCCCAAACCATTCCTTTACTGTTCTGTAAAAGCCTTTCCTAGCCGACTGCTTTATTTCAGCATTTATATAAAAGACTACGCCTTTCCTAGCCAAATGCTTTATTTCAGCATTTATATAGCCAACTGCTTTATTTCAACATTTATATAAAAGACTAAGTGACCCCCCCCCCATGACCTCACTCATTCCCAACTTGGACACTGAAAGTAAGTGTCTTCCCTGTTTGCCAAGAAATGATAAACCAGTGAATTAAGAGGCGATTGTCCTTGCATTCCCTCTGGTATGCCAAAGGTGCAAGGATTCAAATGACTGGTGAAATTGAATATGCTTATAAGCTTATTCACTGTATTTAATTAAAAGCTATTAAAATTACTCACTAATACTACAACTGAGGAAAATTCAGAAATAGTAAAATACATCCATAATATTCCATATGCTATATTTATAAATTCCAATTGGCCATTTTAACATAGGGCCATTTTAATATAGGCGGGTATTAAATAGGCCAAGTGACCAATACCAAAAGCATAATAATTAATAAAACACAATACATTACACCATTAAAACTTTACTATCGTAACTATATATTTTTAAACATTTTATATTTACAGTGTGCTTAAAATTTTACAATTATACTTGAGCACAATGTTTTAATAATAGACAACTTTATAACAAGAAAATGTTAAAATGAAGAAACTTTTTAATGGCTTCATAATTGACGTTTCTTCGATATTGTTGCTTACTTCTACTTTATAATTGTCCATTCTGTTATTTTCTTCCTTTCTGTTTGCAAATTATCTCCATTAATCCATAGAAAACAAGCAGTTTACGTTTGTATTTCTTCGTATTTCGAACGCGCACTCCTTGAAGGCAGCCATATTGCAAATATAAACATCCACTTGACGAATAAACTTTTCATATTTCACTCTATTTCCAACGACCAATCAAATCACTTCTGCTTCGGCTTGTCCCAGGGCTTACGGCAACGCAGACAGCCGAGAAGCCCTGGGAACGAGGATGAGTTTTGTTTAAAAGTTAGTAATAAGCATTAATCATAGCGATTAATATTTGAATTTATTTATATTTTGCAATAGAGCAACAGAATACGTCTGACCGGTTTGAGATTTGCAGCAGTAAAAGTATGATAGAGTTGGCTTCGCGAAGCATCCCAGAAAATACTAAGAGGAAAGCGATGTGGGCATACAGAATGTTCGACGCTTGGTCACAATGGCGCCAGGTGATCTCTCAAGATCAGGGCGCTTATATAGAGGGCGGTGAAACGCGCTGATGTCGTGCTGATCGATGTGTGATGCGGAAAAGGACTGGCACGAGCGTGCTTTTCGGCAAAAGTTGACAAGGAGCGTGATTTTTCCTGCTGTTGTATTTTTGCTGTTTTTTCATTAACTACGAAATTCTTGAGGATGTTTTTGCACTGTAACGACGAAGTAGTAACTAGTGTATCGTACGAATGCTTGTTTGGCCTGTATAGTTGAATTTTGAAAGAAATATTGAGGATAATGAGTCGGGCTTTTGATGACTTCAATGAAGGGAAATTTTCAAAACAGCATTTGGGCATGTTATCAAGTCGTCCAAACTTCGAAATTCAGTTGATGGTAAAGATTATAATTATGTGCTTATCTCCAAAAGTTTTCATAAGGTATTTTTGTGTGTTAAATTTTGCCTAATTAGACCATTATTTCGCTACAAAAAAATAAACAACAATTGCATTTTGGCCATGTCGTGATTTTTGGTTATTATGTTAATAATTTTGTACGACTTTTAAGGCATTCAATTGAAGTAATTCTGAGCCGTAAACATATTTTACTTCTTGGCCTTTGAATCAAAATACGACTCGCTCGGACGTTTGTTGAGCGCAATAGTCGAAAAAGTTTCGTCCCAACTTTGATTTTTTTTTGACCGGCTGGCCAAGACAACTTCTCGTAAGGATTCGTTAAAAAAATACAAATTCAAGTTGAGCATTTCTTGATTTTCAACTGAAAAGATCAACTAGTGGCTAAAATTAATTGTGAATTGTATTCTATCGAACGTGAACGATACGTGTACATCCGAAGAGTTTTAAAAACCTTTCACGTCATCAAAGATTAGATACTAGCGAGTAGTGATGGGCGATACCGAGTACTCGGTATTCGATACCAGCGATACCACAAACAGCGGTATCGGTATCGATTACTGACGTGGTATCGTTCGATACTTGCACCCTTTTTTAAACGACTTGTTTAATTTCACTTCTTGGTTGAATAAGACTTAATGAACCACTAAAATAACTCTTAATATTCAAAATGTGGTGCGTTAAGTCATGTATAGAATATATTTATTACGTTTCAGGCTTTTGGTTTTCTTATAGCTTTATTTACGTTACATACAGTAATGTAAAATGTTTTTCCGCTGAACGGCAGGTATCGAAAGTAGCCGATACTGGCAATTTAAGTGCTCACTTCCGGTATCGAAAATTGAAATTTTGTGTTTATTTTGGTATCGAAATCGGTATCGACCGATACCGATCTTAAAAGTATCGGTATCGGTATCGAATTAAAAATCCTGGTATCGCCCATCACCACTAGCGAGCTTAAGCAAGTGGCGTTTTGACAACACGGACGTCGACCGGAAGTAAAGTTGACGTTTTTCACCAATCACAGCCCTTGACCCAGTCTTCTGACGTTGCTCATGCCGTTCGTGTTGTCAAAAATGTCACTCGCTTAAGCTCACTACTATAAAGATGTGTCACTCGACGTATTTCCCTAATGTTTGCGTGTCCGTAATTTTCCGTGCTGATCACGAGTGATCACGCGAGATGACGAGTACATAACACTTACTGCCAAAATGGCGGCGAGACTGAATACAATAGGTTGCCATCGCGATGCTCGCGCTATATGACGAATTTTGACGAATTTGACACTTACTGGCAAAATGGCGGCTATAAAAAAATCTCGGACATAATTTTCGCAGAGTGACACATCTTTATAGTATCTAATCTTTGACGTCATGCTTCTTGCGAAAGCAACCGTTCGTAAGCTTTCGCAAGCGTTTTGAGCAAAAACCAAGGGTGGGTTGACTACAAAATTTTTGTAGTTCGCTATAACTACAGCTACTTCAAAAATATGTAGTCAGCTACAACTACTGCTACTTTTGAACAAAGGTAGTTCGCTACTGACTATAGCTACTGCTTAAAAAATGTAGCGAACTATTTCGCTACGCCTACGCTATATGTTTTAGTTTTACTGTATTTGGAGCATTTATACTAACTCAGACTGTAATGTAACCTATAACAAATAGACTTACGAGTAGCAACAGTAAACACAAAGCAACATTTTTGTATTATCACTACAGTGCTCAGGAGTGCAAATTGACTATTGAGTATCGATTTTAAGCAAACCGTATCTCTATATCATGCTATTCTATCACGTTGTTAACAATTTTTAAAAGTAGCGAATAGCGATTTGCTGTTTGAAAAGTAGTCAACTACTTGGCTACTTTTACGCAAAATGTAGTTCGCTATAACTACAGCTACTGTTTTAAAAATGTAGTCAAAAACTACTGGCTACTTGAAAATTGTAGTTCGCTACAGTAGCGAACTACAACTACTTCGCTACTACCCACTCTTGGCAAAAACTCTAAAATATTGGCAGTATTACCTGAAAATACAATAGCAGAATCTACTAAATTATCGTATAACATCGGAATTTTACCCCCAATATCTATTTCTTCATCAAAACTTGACTACAAAACAGTCAAAACTTCCAGCTCAGTTTTCCCGCCATATTTATCCTTGCCATATAAGACAACGTCGCCATAGTAACCACAACAAACTCGTTACCAGTTCATTGCATCACACATCGATCGGCGCGCCTGTAGCCGTTTCACCGCCCTCCGATATAAGCGCCCTGCTCAAGATGGAAGGGAAATGCGTTTGGTTGATAATTTTTGTAGTGTAATTAAAATTTTTGTAGTGTAATTAAAATTTGCTTTAAAGCAAAGTTGTAACGCACAATGGTTTATTTTTTATTCAAGCGAAAAATCGGGGTCATTATTTTAAATATTGGAGGTCATTATTAAAAATAATAACCTCCTGACATTAAATAATGGCGTTGCATTAACTTGCGCATGTCGATTCTTGAAAATAATAACCTGTTCAAAACAATGAAAATGTGCATTAATCATGTATATTATTCTTGTTCTTGTTAATATAGTATTGTGTATTGTAATATGGCGAAACTGATAAATAAAAATAAATAAAATATCTATACTGTATGTCACGATTACGTGTTTCCACGTTTATTTGGAATATATGTGAACTATATTAAATCATAGTGAATAAATCCAGGCTCGATTACCAGCCGTGACTCAAGTCGGACCCGAATGCCGGGCTGGTAATCGAGCCTATAATAAATCCTGTAAAGTCGTCTTTGTGAAAGCTATCTGAACAGTGTGTCAAACAATATTTACCTCCTCAATTTATGCTCTCTCCAATGTTACATTCAGCTCACTCCCCACTAGGGCTTTTCAGCGACAGATTACATCAAGTATTACGCTTACTTATGTTGCTGACAATTTTATCTGTACAACAATCACGATACACGGCTAAAAACGCACAGGTTGTTGCAAGTTGATATCGACAGGCGTGAACAATGTTGTGCGGCCACCTATGAACAAGTTGTCAACCATGTTGTTCCAAGTTGAACAATGTTGTAACATGTTGACAATACTGTTCATAGTGGACCGAACAATCACGCCTGTCGATATCAACTTGCAACAAAAGTTGTTGATTTTCTCAATTTTTACGCGTGTATTACTTTCCTAACTGTTTATCCTAACCCACCCTTGCCCTGTGGAAACGCCCGGAGAAAACTCACGACTTTCGGCAGAGCGTTGACGGACTCTTCACATGAGTCCGCAGCGAGAACTGCGCCACAGACATTCACAGCGAATATTTCGTTTGGTCCAATGGAATCTACTAGAGTTCTACTATCACCAGAGTGTTCTTTTCATCAAACATAAGTGTCCCTGTTCGGGTTACTGTCTACCGTAGAAGGTACTGAAAAAGAAGATTGCCACTTCTGCCTGGAAAATATAAATCCGAACGTACAGGGATTTATCATCAAGATACCTTGCTGTGGACACTTGGTTCACACCAAATGTTTCCAGATGTGGACGATGACTTCGGCGGACATTGAAGATCAAATGGCATGATGTGCGTACTATAGGATCGGACTCGTATGCAAAGATTGTCTCCCTACTTGAAACTGAATTGTGAAACGTGTTTGATAGAGGTGACCGACTCAAATTTTTATTGGCACTTCAATCAACAACGCTAATGGGATTTATAACAGTTAGCCGTGTACGATAAATCTTCTCTTGAACCTCTTTCAAAAAACAGAAAGTTCATAAGATCTACGACGCGGCCAGAATTTGATTACTGCGGTAAATGTTTGTGAAGCTTTTTCGAATAACTTTAAAAACGGCTACGTTCGACTAAAGCAATGCAATGTTTGCTGCAATTTCGACTTTAAATTAAGTAACACATCTTGGTGCGTGAACCTGCCGATTTTGATGTCTACCACCCAGTCGTCCATTACGATTTATATAGATCAGTGGACTGAGGTGTGCGTTGCATGATGGGAACGACGAGTCCCATCATGCACCATTACTTTAATCCTCATCTGAGGGACTGGGTACGAGTCAGCTGTAGAATGGTGTATCGTGACACCTAAGCTACGTGAAACCTTGGATGGGGAACATGGTGGGGAACAGTTCATGGCAACACGCCGTTGCCATTCTACTGTACATACATCGTGTGCACAACTACGCGTTTTGTTGACGTGACTGTATAGATGGAGATGTCACCTTAGAGTGTGGAAAAGCTACGTGGTGTCTCTTGGCTTCGGTTATAAAGAGGAGCAAAGAACCAACACACCATTGAAAAGAATATAAACGATTTCACCATGCCATTTTTGAAGACAAAAGGCGTACATGCGTACGCACAGGGGCGTATCTACATGCATGCGGGGGTTACCTACTAAGCAAGTGCTGGTCTTCTCTAAGGGGGTGCTAGACACCACTAGGTGGGGTGCCCACCCCCGTGCACCCCACGGTGGATCCGACCCTGCTCATAGACATCGACTACCTGAACATTCGCAATAAAAAGCAGAGGAAATTGAAGCAAAAAAAAACTGGACCGAAGTATAGGTTAAATACTACTTTAACAAAATTCTTTATTTAATTGTCGTACATATAATAATTATACCTTACCACTAAAAACACATTACAAGCTAGCAACAAAAAAGCATAATCGCTGTTTATTCAAACACTAAACGCGGTACGAAATATTTAACAGTTTCCAACGAAAAAGAAAGACAATTGTATATAATAATTTTTTGAAGTTTGGATCTTTATTTTCTATCTATATGGCTCACGATCGACCCGTGATCGATTATACAACAATGATCCAGTCTCAGTCATTTTGTAAATTGTTTTATTTATCTTTCTTATACACCTATGAAACATACGGGTCCGAGTTCGACGCCGAATTCTTTATCGTCTCCCATGTCTTGTGGCGCAATGTCGATAATGGGTAGGGCAATTGATGACTTAGCCTCCAACTCAAGAACGGTCTTTCTCCATGCGTTATTTCGCGTCTAGAATAAAAATATTACGATACTTATTATTATACGTAATTTTGATAGGTTGAGAAGAAGGCATATATGTATTAATTTGGTGGTAAAAATCTTTTTTTCAACCGACTACTATACACAGGGACGCCGGAACGGGGGGGGGGGGGCAGAAGTGCCCTTTGAGTTGTAAAATACTACCTGATAAATCACATTTCCAGTGATGCTTTTTGGGCAAAATCATGAGGTGTGATCTTGAATGTGACCTGATTAAGTGCGTTTGCTTTCATTGGCAAGTCAACACATTATTGTAGGTTTATTTCTTCACCGGGATCTATAGAGGTGCCCCTTTGGTGTGCGTTCGCCCCCGGGGCTTTGCCTTTTTATCGTTCCGGCGTCCCTGACTATACATCTGTGGACCATCATAACTCTTCAAAATGCTCAAACAAAAGCAACAGCCGCAGCCAACATCACAGTCTTGCTAGACGCTACGGTTGCCTTTAATTGATTATTTTTAATTTGCCACCGAAAATGGCGGAATTCAACAAATACATGTTGTGACGTCCACTTGCAAGAGCCCAATAGACTGTAATGTTTATTCACTCTTGGCCCAATGGCCTCGTTTTCATGTGTTATTTCCTAACGTTTCGTGCAGAGTAGGGTTAAGGTTTGTGACTGGGCTCAAGACCAAAGATAATGATATCCGTGCACGATATAAACTTAATATGCGTCTGCCATGCTAAAACATGCAAGCATGAAAAGAGGCATCGAGGCTGTGAAGTGTAATCAATGAACAGCAAAGATGAAAAATTATTCTCTTATTACTTTGTTGTCATACATTACTGGATACAAACAACCAATAAGTATTAGTGTTTTTGAACTAGAGGAGTAAATCTTACTTTCGAAACCATAATTTATATAATTTCAAAACATATCAAAATCTTACTCTTTATGAGCTGAACATAATTATATAATAGCATGTCAGCATCATTGAAATGAATGTAAGTTATATAACTGCAACGCTGCCTCCAACTGGACATTTGAAGCCAAACTTGAAAAGGCCAGTCTCGCGCATACGAAGAGCGTGCATGTGTTCTTGAAAATCGGCTTAAAAATTTACAAAATAGCTTTCCTTATTTTCCCCCTAATAATTGCCGATTGAAAGGGCATTTTTCTGCGATATAAGATCGCGAAACATAAATTAACATGCGTGTCCAGGGCCGTAGGAAGATCGATAATTGGGGGGGGGGGGGAGGACCTCATATTCATA